AGCTGTAAACCTAAGTAAACTACCAACAACTTTCTCAGCAGATTACAGATCAATCTTCACAGGGATTACTTTCTCGGATGTCTGGGAAATCTCCATTATGTTAGCTATTTACAACTGACTGTTTTATTACAAGGTCAGAGCATCTCCCTGTAAACTGAGGATAGTGTCTTGACTGTCCTTAATAAACAGTAAGTGTGAACTGAGTTTAACCCTTAGGAGACAGAGATATGTGACCTCTGAGTCAGACACTGTCTCTGTCATGGGAAACTGGCACCACCAGAGGAGAGGCATGACCTCAGTTTGTACTCGGAGGTACCAGGAGACAGTGGATAAATAAAAAAAAAGGTTTAATTAATGAGCTCTGATAATGGAGGTTGTAAAGTATGGCAGTCAATATCTGAAAATTTACCTAAAAATAATGTGAAAGGCTTTTCTTCTAAGTTCTCAGCCCAAGAACCAGTTAATCCTAATTTATTAACCTTCTAGTGTTACAAGCAGCCCCTTTTCTGACGAATTGCTAAAGATATCTGTTTTCTCACAATTAGTGACTTTCGTTGTAATCTCCCCTGAAACATATTTCATGATGGCTGCCTAATTACTCATTGACACTAGCACTCACTCCCCTCTTTAGGGTCTCCGCTGACCAACCCAAGGGTCAGGGCAAGGTTGTAAAATTCTTTTGTTCAGGGATAATGCCTGGTGCCCCTGCTATAAAAAGTAGGTTCAAAAACCGGCCGTTTGCCACAGTGTCAGAAGCCTGAACTCTGCCTGTGGTCTCAGCAAGCTGAGAAGTTTCTGTGCCCCGCGGTGTTTTACTTTTTGCTTTTTATTTTTTGAGTTGCTTTTGGTTTTCCTGGGATCTGGTTTCTGGAATAAAGTTTGCTTCTGGTTTATTAGACTTGGTGGTGCTCTCATCTTTGCACGACCCCCTGGACCCAACAGTAACCATTTTGAAATATATATATATTTGAAATGAGGTCTCACTTTGTAGCTCTGGCTGGCCTGAAACCCATAGAGATTTGTTTGTTTATTCTTCCGGAGTGCTGATGTTCAGAGTGTACTACACATGGCCTAACATATACCATGCTTTATGGTGCTGGAGAGATGGCTCAGCACTTAAGAGTACTTGTTGCTTTTGTGGGAGGACCCAGCAGTCATGACCAGCACTCACAACCACCTGAAAGTCTGGTTCTGGAGGCTCTGATGTCCTCTGCTCACCTCCCAGGCACCAGGTATGTAGGTAGTATATAAGTATGCATGCAAACAAAAATAAAGAAGTCATTAAAAATTTTTAAAGAGTGTGCTTAGCAGTGCACACCTTGAGCCCCACCAGCGCTCTGGAGGCATAGGCAGATCTCTGTGAGTTCCAGGCCAGCCAGATCTACATAGCAGACTTTGTCTTGAGAACAGCAAAAAGAAATGAAGATTTTGTTAACTATACTCACTAAAATGTGTTCTTCCTCTCTGACAGTAACATTGCCACCAATATTTTTACTTGATTTTGTTGAGTTTTTTTTTTTCTCATGTTATTATTTTTTGGGGGAGGGTTTCAAGGCTGAGTTTCTCTGTGTAGCCTTGGTTGTCCTAGAACTCACTCAATAGACCAGGCTGGCCTTGATCTCAGAGATCTATCTATCTGCCTGCCTCTCTGCCTTCCAAGTGCTGGGATTAAAGGCATGCACCGCCACCACCCGGATTTTTTCTTATATTGTTATGTAGAATTGCTGACTTTATTAGCATTAAGAACAAACACCAAGGCTGGGATCTTGGGAGCTCAGTCCATAAAGTGCTCCCTTACAAACACAAGGATCTGAGTTCAATTCCTGGAACCTGGTGTTTAGAAATCTAGTCATGGTGGCACATTTATAATTCCATGCTGGAGAAGTGGAGACAAGCAGACCCCTGTCATTCGGTGGCAACCCACCCACCGTTGGTGACCAGACCAGTGAGAAGTCCTGTCTCTAAACAAATCATGTCTCATGGTTCCGGAGACATGACTCCTGAGCTGTCTTATTTTTTGCTTTTTTTGAGACAAGGTTTTCCATCCAGTCTTTGCTGCAGCCCATCCAGTCTTTGCTGCTGCAGCCCATCCAGCCCTCAACCTCTTTCATTGAGTTTTCACCAGACTTTTTCAACATTGCCCTTCTAAAAAAAAAGGATCCAGAGCCGGGTGATGGTGGCGCATGCCTTTAATCCCAGCACTCGGGAGGCAGAGGCAGGCAGATCTTTGTGAGTTAGAGGCCAGCCTGTTCTACAAGAGCTAGTTCCAGGACAGGCTCCAAAGTTACAGAGAAACCCTGTCTTGAAAAACCAAAACCAAAAAAAAAAAGTATTTTATAGCTGGGCAGTGGTGCACATCTTTAATCCCAGCACCCAGAAGGCAGAGGCAGGTTGATCTCTGTGTGTTTAAGGCCAGCCTGGTCTACAGAGCGAGTTCCAGGACTGCCAGAGCTGCACAGAGAAACCTTGTCTGGAAATACCAAATTAATTAATTAATTAATTAACTAATTGAATTAAAAAGAAAGAAAAGAAACAAAACACGTATTTTATTTGTATGTTTTGGCTGCATGTATCTCTGTGTGTGCTGCATGCATGCCTGGTGCCCTTTGGATCCCATTGGATCAATAGATGGTTGTTAGCCTCCATGGGGGTACTAGGAATAGAACAAGTACTTTTAACCACTGAGACGTCTGTTCAACCCTTTGGTTTACTTTTTCACACAGGGTCTGTCTTTGTAGCTCTGGCTAGCCTTGAGATCAAAATGTAGACCAGACAAGCCATGAACTTGCTGCAACCCCCCTGCCTCTGTCTCCTGAAGACTGAATGGTGACCTGCGGTGACACAGCTGCTCTAGGCAGCTGTTTATCGACAATGTCTACCCGTGACTAGACTTGGTCTAATTTTTCCTGACTGTTGTCATAGAAGGACATGACTTCTTCCTAATGTCTCCCATCAGGTGGTTCCCATTCGAACTTGACCTGATTGAAATGTTCTCTGCCAAATTTCTGTCTTATAAATTCCTCTCTTTCTAAAGATTTATTTTTATTTTATGTGTATGGGGTTTTGCTCCCTCTGTGTGCCTGGTTACCTGAAAGGCCCAAAGAAGGCAGTGAGCTACCGTGTGGGTGCTGGGAACCACACCAAGGTCCTCCAGAAGAGCAGTCCTGGCTCTCAGCCCTTGAGCCTCTCCTCAGTCCTCCCACCCCCTATAAATTACTCCTTACCTTGTTCATTAGAACAATGGAGATGGAGCCAGGTGGTGGTGCAGCCTTTAACCCCAGCACTCGGAGGCAGAGGCAGGCAAATGTCCAAGCTGGAGGCCAACCTGGTCTACAGAGTGAGTTTCAGGACAGCCGGGGCTACACAGAGAAACCCTGTCTTGAAAAAAAATAAAACAAAAGAAACCCTGTCTTGAAAAACCGGAAAAAAGAAAAGAAAAAAGGAAAAGAAGAGAGAGAATTGGAGACTGGGAGATTTAGATTGTGTATACTATGTTACTCTTCATACTTACTTTCTATCAGAATGAAGCAAATAGTTATCTAAACTGTGGATTAACCAGTTGTTATTTATTTAGAGATAAATTGTCACTGTGTCTCCCAAGCTAATCTGTGTGGCAAATCAAATGCCTTGAATCAGTTAATGATTCTCATGCCTCAGCCTCCTGAACTGGGGTTACAAGTGTGCACTACCACACCTGGCTAAAATTGCCTATTCGCACACTCAAAGTTATTTGATCTGGTTACACAACTTCAGTCTTCAGTTGTCTTAAGTCTTTTGTGTGCGACTTGATCTTGTTTAAGCTCACTTTCTCTTCCTTCCTTCCTTTCTTTCTCTTTTCTTGGTATGTGACAGTTTTTAAAAACAAAAATCTTAAAAGTTATTTCCTTTCCTTTCTATCCCTCCTTTCCTTCTACTTTTTGCTGTATTGAGGATTGAACCCACTGAGAACCCCACCACTGAGGACCCCAACACAGAGAACCTCACCACTGAGAACCCCAACACAAAGAACCCCACCACTGAGAACCTCACCACAGAGAACCCCACCACTGAGAACCTCACCACTGAAAACCCCACTACTGAGAACCCCACCATTGAGAACCCCACCACAGAGAACCCCACCAGTGAGAACCTCACCACTGAAAACCCCACCACTGAGAACTTCACTACCACTGAGAACCCCACACTGAGAATCCTACCACTGAGAACCCCACCAGTGAGCTTTATCTCTAGCCTCTTGTTTTGCTTGTTGCTGTTATTGGTGGTGGTGGTGTGTACAGATACTTGTAGGTCACAGTGTGTGTATTGAGGTCAGAAAACATCTGCTTCCAAGAATCTGTGCTAACTTTTAGCCTTGTTGAGATAGAGGCTATCTTTTACATTATTATTATTATTTTGGTTTTTCAAGATAAGGTTTCTTAGTAGCTGTGAATCCAGTTCTGCTTCTACCTCCCAAGTGCTGGAATTAAAAGAATATACCACCCCCACCCTCTCCCACCTACACAGAAAGAAAGAATCAACTCTAAAGCCCAATAAGGTAGACATAGTCACACATTCCTGAAATCTCAACACTCGAGACATTGAGGCAGGATTGAATGTTAGTTTAAGGTTAGACTGGGCAGTGGTGGTGCACACCTTTAATCCCAGCACGCGAGGCAGAGGCAGGCCGATCTCTGTGAGTTCGAGGCCAGCCTGGTCTACAAGAGGTAGCTACAGGACAGGCTCCAAAGCTACAGAGAAACCCTGTCTTGAAACCCCCCCCAAAAAAAAGAAGGAAGGAAGGAAGATGATAGATAGATAGATAGATAGATAGATAGATAGATAGATAGATAGATAGTTTAAGGCAAGCCTGGGCTACATACAAAGATTTTTGTTTGTTTTAAGTTGAAAAGAAGCAGAGAGGTTTGAGAAAACCCAGCAGGGTCCTCTGGAGTCATGGGTGTCAAGAAAATGAGTCAGAGAAGAAAGGACCCCAGACAAACACAATAAGAAGTTTCTCTCAGTAGCAATTTTATTTGGTTTCGAGACTCGCTGGCCCACCTCACTGGCCATGGCATCATTCTCAAACAGATCTATTGTCGTGGGATTCTTCATTCGCCTCTTAAAGGACAAGAAAGCTATGAGCCACATCATGTGTGCCAGGGCAGGGAGAACCCAGACACTGTGTCAGGTTGCAGCTTGGTTAGGAGGGGAACATGCCACATGCAGAGAGGGGCTGTATAATAAGGACCGGTTCTGGGGCTTGAGCTTAAGAGTAGACTTAGGTCAGGGTCAGTGCTCTGGATGAGGGCTCAGTAGCTGTGAACAGAAGACTTATCCAGTTCACTGTGCTGTTCCTTCTGGGACTCTGTCACCACCTGCTGGGGGCAAAGCATGCAAGGGGATAATTCAGCACCACCCTCCTTGGGATCATCTTGTGCCCTGCCGTTGCAGCTTGCTGAGGTTACAATTTATCTCCTCCTCCTCTTCCTCTTCTTCACTTTTAGAGACAGGGGTTCTCTGTGTGGCCCTGGCTGTCCTGAAACTCACTCTGTAGACCAAGCTGCCCTTGAACTCAGAGATCTGCCTACCTCTGCCTCCCGAGGGCTGGGACCAAAGGTGTGTGCCACCACCACCTGGTTATCTACTCGTCTTCTATCTGGTGTCCCTCCCTGACTCCGTAGATAGAAGAACTTGGCACAAAAACCTTACCACCTGAGTTTGATCCCTGAATCTCACAGTAAAGGGAGAGGACTAACTCCTGAAAACACCCTCTGATCTCCAAGCGAGCGTATGGCACAGGTGCACCGGCACACACACGCTCAGACACGCACACATGCACACACGCACACCTTCTATCTGCTGTCCCTCCCAAGAACCATGTACTCTCAGCATCCCAAGATCTGTAGCCCGTCCAGATCGGGGCTCAGAAACATTAGAAATGTGGGGGTCTGGATCAAGGGTTTTAATTCACCTCCCCATCCCGGGTCTCAATAGTTCTAATCAGAACCATCTTTCGGCTGTGGCTGTCCTGGGGAGCCTCCACCTCAGGCACTGGAGAAAGCAGGAGAGAGGATATGGTTAGGATTCTCCCCTTTCAGGCTCCCACTCCCACCCCTGACGGCCAGAAATCTCACTGCGTGAGGAATAGGAGTCAATCTAGGATGAGTGTGGCCTGAGTAATCAGGGCAGAAGGTAGAGAGGAGCTGCAGGCTGGAAGGACGTGGAGGACTCACCAGTGGTCTTTAAACTTAGGGAGGCAAAGGAGTGAACTGGCACTGAGATCCTGTGGGCAAAGCACACAGCCTGATTATTCCCTTCGCTAGGCCAATGCCCTACCCTACCATCCCTGCCCTATCTCAGTAGCCTCTCCATTCACCGGCTCTCCTCCCCTTCCAGCAGCTTCCTGTAGGTGGCGATCTCGATATCCAGGGCCATCTTGACATTGAGGAGCTCCTGGTATTCTCGGAGATGCCGTGCCATCTCTTCCTTCAGCTGTCGAAGTTCTTCCTCCAGACGCGCAGCGCCAGCTTGGTACCCTCCAGCCTCCAGGGCGAACTGCTCCTCCAGCTCCCGCAGCTGTCTGAGCAGCGCCTCGTTCTGGGGTAGGAAAGGAAGAAGGGGGCAGTCGGAAAGCCCTTCAGCCTTCGCCCACCGGCCCAGGCAGCAGCGAAGTGCTCACCGTGCCACGCAACCCGTCCACCTCACACGTCAGACTCTGGATTTGACGTCGGGATTCGTTCATCTCCTGCTTGGCCTGGCGTAGGGCCTCGTGGTTGCGGTTGGCGGCATCGGACAGGTCAGCGTACTGCGGAGTGGCAAACAGGTTCAGCTGGGATGCGAGCCATTCCCAGGGCCTCCCACCCCAGGAGTCCCCCCAGAGTCCTCCCCCACTCTCGCACTTTGGACTTATACCACTCCTCTGCCTCCTGCAGATTCTTCGCTGCGATGTTCTCATACTGCATACGGATGTCCCTCAGTGCCGCAGTCAGCTCTGGCTTCACTGTTGCCTCCACCTCCACCTGCTGAACCTGCTGGCTCTCCATGCTCACCTGCAGATCCCGAAGTTCCTACAGGCCAGGAAAGGCGGAGGTTGTGAACAGAAAAGAATGCCTAGCTTGGCATGTAATCCCAGCTTTTGAGAGGTTGAGACAGAAAACTCACAAGTTCAAGACCTGTCTGGGCTTTGAGACCGTGTCTCTAGATGAGAGAGACAGAGACAGAGACAGAGACAGAGAGAAAAGAAGAGTGGGGGGGAGGCACTTGCATGAACAGAAGGGGCGCTATGGAGTGCACGCGCACCGGATTCTGAGACCTGAGCCCAGGATGTCCTTAAGTCGGTTGTCAGGTTCAGGGTGTAGACACCTCGACCGCCAACAGGTGGCGCATGGGTGGGAGTCAAGCCACCTGTAGCCCGGGTAAAGGGTGGGGTTGTCATCACATAGCATCCCTGCTGTCTCCGCAGCTTCAGCGAGGCCTTCTCCCAAGCCTTCCCAGACACCCCGACCACTCACCTCTTCGTGTAGCTTCTTGAGGAACTCAATTTCATCCATCAGAGACTCAATCTTGCGCTCTAGTTCTAGGCGGGACAGGGTGGCGTCGTCCACATCCTTTGTGAGTGGGAATGAGTGTTCAAGAGAAAAAAGAGCTCTTCAGGCAGAGGAAGGGCCAGGCCTTCCCTTTCAGCCTCTGAGGTATGAAGTTGCCTCCCCTAACCCACCGATGCCACCCTGGAGACGCTGCTGGGGGTGCAGACTGGGTGGTGGGACTCGACGTGGCCCCCACTCACCTTACGGAAGAGCACCAGGTTGTGCTCCGCATCCTCCCGCTTGCGGGATTCTTCTTCTAACCTAACAGGCAGAGTGGGAAGACACTGAGCTGCCCAGTTACCTCCCAGTCCTCCAGCCACATCTAGCACCCCGCCCCCATCTGCTCTTGCAGCTGTCCTGGGTCCAAAGCGAGGAATTCAGCCTGCCCGTCTAACGGGCTGGAAACAGAGGGGTGGGGAGGAATCCCCTTAATAATCGGCCAGTTCCACTAGGTGCTGGAGGCATAGTGCTGCGAGGGGGCCGACCAGGATGTTACAGGCACCAGCTGGGGTTGACCAGCCGGGCCACGCCCTAGGGCTGTTGGATCCGAGGGGAAGAAAGGGAGGGGCGGAGGGAGCGACTCGCAGGCCTTGGCCTACCCCCTGACCTCTGCTTGAGCGCTGCCAGGTCCTCCGCCAGCGCGTCGCGCTCCACCTGCACCCGGTCGCGCTCCCGGCCCAGCAGCTCCAGTTCGCGCCGCAGCTCCCGCAGCTCCTGCTGGCACAACTGGTCGGCGCGCGCCGGCTCCTGGCCCCGGGCCTGGCTCAGCTCTCCGCGCAGGGCTGCGTTCTGCTGCTCCAGGAAGCGCACCTTCTCGATGAAGTTGGCGAAGCGGTCGTTGAGCTCCTGCAGCTCTTGCTTCTCGTTGCTCCTTGTAGCCAGGAACTCCTGGTTGAGGGCCTCGGCCATGGAGAAGTCGAGGCGCTCCGAGGGCAAGCGCAGGGCCCCTGCTCGAGGGGCACGGAAGCTACCCAGTCGCGCAGACGAGCTCGGGGACGCCGAGCCCAGCAGGCGACTGCTGGAGAAGCGAGAGCTGGAAGAGTAGGAATAAGCCCCGGGGGACAGTGAGGGCGGTGGTCCGAAGGTCCGGCGGTATGAGGTGGAGCTGATGCCGGACCGGAGGCCCGACGAGTGATGGCTCATGGTGGCGGAAGATGGCATTCAGCGCTTGGCAGAGCTAGGCCGGGCGGGAAGGAGCCGCAGACCGATGCGGGGCACCTTTATAGTCCTGCGGTCTCAGGGGTGTCGGGGGTGGGGGGAGCATTACAGCTCCTCCCACTGGTCTGACTACAGACGGGCTGTGTGGGGAGGGGGATGCCCCACCCTGCAGAGCGAGGACACCACCCCTTCCCTCTCCCGGTTCCTGGCACCCTGCCTACTTGCTTCCCCCTTGCTGACAGAGATCAGGGATGCCACAACAGGGTGGAGATAGGCTAGGGGTCTGAGCTTCTGAGCATGGCTCCAACGCTGGAGCCTAGGGTGGGAGGACATGACTTGACCCGGGATGCTCCTTCAGAAGAGGAGGTAAGAATTAGGGAATAAGAGGGAACTGAGGTTAAAGGGCAAGCTCTTGAGTATGAGAAGGGAGGTAGGTGGAGGGAGAGCTAACCTGGCCTAAACCGGGGAGTTTGCGCCAACTCCTGCCTCCTGAAGCTGGGGTTCTTTTTTCACCTGTTGTCAGCTGCCCCAACCACAACCAAGAGAAATAGGGGACAGAAGGGCTGGGACAGAGGGGGCTGGGGCAGGGCTTATCTCCGCCTGCTCCCCAGGGCACGGTAAAGGGCTAGTGGTTGGCGCCAGCTCTGCGGCTAATGGACTGACTGACCAGCTCCCCTCCCCCTGCCCTTGTCCGGCAGAAGTTGCCTGCTGATGTTTCCATCTTAAAGACACAGCCCCCAAATTTGGATTTAACACCTTCAACAAGGTGGGCACTTCACAGGGGGTTGAAGGTGTCAGACTCCAAGGTGTCTGCCATGTCAGAGGCTGGGCTGAGTGGGCCTGTGGTGTACTGTCGGCCTTTACTGGACTCTCTCCCCCTCCACAGTAACTGCTGCTCAGTCACCGGCCTTACGGGAACTAGAATTTCCTGAAGTAGGAAGGGGAGGGGGTTGAAGCGTAGCAGCTGCCAGGGCTGAAAGACAGATAGACTGGCAGGAATCAGTCTCCAGAGCTGAGGAGGTGCAGGTACCCAGAACCGTTGCGGTAAAGGGAGAAAAGATGGGAAGCTACCCACCCACAATGGTCTGAAAGAAGAGACAGAGAGAAGTCCTAGAACAGGTCCACAAACAGATGCCTTTTCCCCACTGAGCCATCTTGTAGATCCTACGAACATGTATTGTGTAGCCTGCTCCAGATACCTGTGCACAGACATTACACAAATACACAGCTACACCCCTTACCATATACACACCCCAGTTAGCAGGAATCTAACTGGCCTTTGTGTGTCACACGGCTTGCAGAATGCAGACACAGACTGTCCAGGAGTGGACAGAGGCAGTTTGGATGCTCTGCAGGAGAAAGGATGCTGAAGTCTCTCAGGTTTATTCCGAGCCCTGCGGAGTCCCTGCGGGGGACTCAGGGACTCTGGACTCTCAAGCAGGACAGGCCTACCTCAGATGGGCCCTGAGAACAAAACAGGTGTGATGTGGAAGAAGCAGGTTTGGGACTCTAGGCTGGATGCCTGGCCGGGATAAGGAGGGCGGCTCCCTGCTGGCCAGCTTCTTCATACTGCAGGGCAGAGAACTCCCCCACCTTCTGCGTCCTCTGAGATGAGCCAGAGCCAACACCCAGCCTGAGCGCTGGCTTACATCTCTAGCCATCCTCTTCTCTCCAGGCCCCTCCTTCCTTCCGGGCTATTAGTCTCTCCCAGTTCAACTGCCAGGCCCTGCTCCTTGATGGATCTACTTTGGTTGCTAAGGGAATGAGAAAAGGGATATTGGGAAAGAGGAGCAGGGTGAATAAACCAGGGCCTGCCCACCCCAGGAACTGGGGTGGAGAGAGGTGGAGCGGTGGAGAGGTCAGGTCCTATCTGGGCTAGGGTAAAAGGGTTGGCGGGTCAGAGATGAGGTTGTAGGAACCTGGTGTCTTGGCACTTTCTGGGCTCTGAGCATTTGCTGCCATTGGTCCGGAGCTCCATCCAACCCAGACTCCAATAGCAAATGATGAGTCCTGGAGACATGGAGAGGGCAAGCAAGGCCACTGAGGACCAGCATTGCCCTGTCCACATCGGGAGCCTGCGCCTTTGAGACTAGAGTTCCTGAAGTAGAGGCTGAGCAAAGCAGGGGAAGTCCTGGGCCCAGGGAGCTGCAGATGGAGTTTTATTCAGCTCTGCCCCTCCTTGCCTACATCTCCAGCTCACTACTCAGAGGAGGGGGACCAGAAAACCTCCCAGAAGGGCTCTGCTACGGTTGGGTGAGGAAGGGCCAGCCCGTGTGGGGGACACGGTAAGGAAAAGGCAGAGAAGGATTTGTTCCTAGTGGCAAGCTGCCAGGCCTGGGAGCTCTTGGAGGAGAAGGGCTGAGGATAAAAAGTCACGGGTATGATTATTCTAGCTGCCGTCCTTCTCACCCCTGCCATAGAAAGTCAGCCTTCTTGCTGGCCTTCTTTTGCTCTCAGGAAATGGGGAATATAGCCTCAAAGCGCTGGAGGACTAAATCAGTGGTTCTCAACCGTCCTAACGCTGCGACCCTTTGATAGGACTCCTCATGTTGTGGTGACCCCAACCATAAAATGATTTTGTGGCCACTTCATAACTGTAATTTTGGGGGGGGTTTTGTTTTGGTTTGTTTTTTTGTTTGTTTTTGTTTTTTGACACAGAGTTTCTCGGTAGCTTTGAAGCCTGCCCTGGAACTAGCTCTTGTAGCCCAGCCTGACCTCGAACTCAAAGAGATCCACCTGCCTCTGCCTCCCAAGTGCTGAGATTAAAGGCGTGCACCACCACCACCAGGCTAATTGTAATTTTGTTACTGTTATAAATTGTAACATAAATATCTGATACACGACCACTGGACTAAATGAATAAATATATGTATACACTTAACACATACACAGTAAAAGGCGGAAAAAGGAAGTTGGTTTCACTGTTTTTGTTGCTACTCTCATGTTGCCAGCCTCCAGGGCCAGGAGGATCTGAGCTGCTTTTGGATTGCCCTTACTGGTGGCTAAAAGCAGTGCAGGACCCCCAAATAGAAGGAGCCAAGTACCACTTAACTGAGGATGGAGGGGGAGGTGGGCATGTCCTTCCTTAGTGTTTTGGGGTTCAGTATATGACTGTTCAACCTAATATGCAGTATGTTTTGGGGTTTCTTGAAGGGTTCACCCCATTTACTTTATTCCACAAATAGGAATGCTAATAATAGCGGCTACTTCATATCATTGGGAAGATTCGGTAAGCTATAAAATGCGAAGCACTTAGTGCTTGGCCCGTGTCTTTATTACCTTCTCTGCTTCTGTGGTTGACCTGCTGGTTTATAGAGAAATGGCTGGATGCACACACGGAGTCGCACAAAAGGTGAGTATTGACGCGTACGTTACCCACGAGAGTATCGGTCAGCTCTGTGCTGTGGACCCTGTCCTGGGTTAGGAGAGGAGTGTGCAGGCAAGGGAAGGTGGAAAGTAGATGAGGGAAGAGTCTGTCGCTGGACCCTGGCAAGACCAAACGGTCGGTGGAGCACCAGGAATCACTGAGCTGCGTAGCGTGATACCTGGATCTGTGATTTGGGAGCTCAGTCTTTAGGGATGGGCACCACTCCCAAGATATTTCTGAGGATGTGGGTAGCTGAGGCTAAGGTGGAGTAAAGGGAATGGTCCTGCAGAAGAGTTCAGGCCACCAGCATGGACATCTACCAGCTGCCTGACCCAAAAGGCCCCTGTCTTTTCAGAGCTTCCATAGTCTCCTCTGGAGGACAGAGCTGGTGACAGCCTCTGGTGCCGGTGACACCACAGCAGGTGATCAATAATGTTGTTCACATCTCTCTGCCACAGGACGGATGAACAGAAACACAGGGGCAATGACATGTGTCTAATTCCTTGTAACCAAGTATTAGCTGAAGGCCTTTCCGGTTCAGATCCAGGGCTGGGGCACATCTTTATTCCATGTCCCCAAGATAGGCCAGGGTCCTTAGTGAGCCTTTGCTAGTCAGGGTCCTTGGCTCACATCTAAGGTCCCAGCAGCAGTTGAAGAGGGAGGAACAGTTGATCTTAGAGATTCAAAGTCAACTTGGAAAAGTATGTTGTGTGATATTTTGCTTGTGTTCTGACAAATAAAGCTTGCCTGGAGATCAGAGGGCAGAGCTAGTCACTAGGTAACCATAGAGGTCAGGCAGTGGTGACCCACACCTTTAACCCCAGCACTTGGGAAGAGAAAGCAGAAAGACCAGGAGTTGAAGGCCATCCTGGGCTACCGGAGATTGAACCAGTTTAAAAGAGAAAGAACCGGGCAGTGGGGGCTCATACCTCTGATCTCAGCACTTGGGAGGTGGAGACAGGAACTCAGACGGGTGAAGACAGGATCTGGTGCCCCATTCAGTCTGAGTATTCAGAGGGAAGAAATCACTAGTGATTGCTCATCTTCTTTTCTGATCTGTCAGGTTATCACCTCGATATTTGACTCCTGGTTTTTATTGATTAAGACTAATTAGGAGCTCAGCCCAGTGCTCCGCTGCGGGTCTCTGCCTCTGTCTCAGTTGCTGAATGAAGGTTCTATGGTGACATTTAAGATAGTCATCAGTCTGACTACAGGGCAAGGCCAGTTTGGGCACCCTCTCCTCTATTGCTTAGGGTCTTAGCTGGGGTCATCCTTGTGGATTCCTGGGAATTTCTCCAATACCGGGTTTCTTGCTAGCCCCATAATGACTCCCTCAATCAATCCTCTTTCCTTGCTCTCATCTCTGTCCTTTCCCCATTTCAACCATCCCATTCTGCTGCGGGGGTACCTTCTGTTGCTTCAGCCAATAGTCGCAGAAGCACGAGCCCACGGTGCTGCGGGAGTGCCTTCCGCTCCATCAGCCAATAGCCGCTGAAATACCAGCCCACTGGGGCGTGGTATATTTCTCTTTTTAAAAGAGCTGCAGGTCCAGGCTCGGGCCTCTTGGTTCCGGCTCCTGCTCCCGGCTCCTGCTCCAGCGACTAGGCTCCCTTCCTGACGGTTTATCGTGTATGTAAGTTTTACCCCCCAAAATAAATAACCCCTTAAAACATAACTGGTGTGGGATTGATTCGCCA